GCTCACATTCTGTCTCTCAAAAATAAATAAACATTAAAAAAATTTTTTTGTAATGACCACGGCTACCATTTGTTGGGCACTTACTGCACTCCACAAGTCCTGCTGGGTGCTGTTTGTGCGTTGCCTCTGGTCCTTACACAGCTTGGCTCATAGTCATTATTGGCCCTGGGTTACATGCTTGGCACAAAGCAGGTGCTCAATAAATATTGGTTAAAGGAATGAATAAACAAGGAGAAAATGAGGCCCAGAGGCAGGACGTGGCTTGTGCACTGACACTTGTCTGCCTGGGCCCACAGAGATCTCGCCCAAGTGCCCCGCCAGGGAGAGAGGCACTCTTGACAAAGGGACTTCATACCCACTCTCAAGTCTGTTGGGGAGCCCCTGGCAGGGTTTAGGAAGTAGTTACTAACATAGGCAGACCATTGAGTGGGCAGACTGTGCAGGGCAGGTCTGGAGGCTAGGAGGCCAGTGAGGGGGCAGTAGCCACAGTCCAGATGTGAGGACTGACGACTGAGCTGGAGAGGGACCTCAGGTGACAGGAAAGCAGAGAGAAGCCTCATTTGCTTGTTCGTTCACTCATCCATTCTTTCACTCACTCATTCATTCATCAAACCTTCCCTGAAAGCCTTCTCAAGCCCTCTCTTCTCAGTGCTTGTGGGGGCAGGGAGGGCTGGGGTACAAAGCGGGTGTCAGAAGGTGGGGGCCGAGCTTGCCAGACAGGATGGGTCCATGAAATGGACTCTGAGATCCTGAAATTCCAATTCAAGGGATCTCTCCTCCCCACATTCTTCCACAGGTGTGCCAAGATTTGCAGACAAGCGTATTTATCATGTGCTATTTATAATTTAAAATTTTATTTTATTTATTTTGAGAGAGAGAGAGAGAGAGAGAGAGAGAGAGGATGAGTGGGGGGAGGGGCAGAGAGAGAGAGAGAGAGAGAGAGGAAGAGAGAGAGAATCCCAAGCAGGCTCTGCGTTGTCAGCAGGGAGCCCGACTCAGGGCTCAAACTCAGGAACCATGAGACCACGACCTGAGCCAAAACCGAGAGCTGGACGCTTGACCGACTGAGCCACCCAGGTTACCCCTGAAATGTGCTCTTAAGCATAATTATTTCTGGGGAGTGGGACCAGGGGGAAAGGGTTTCTCACTCTTTCTATAAAAAAAAAATCTGTATCGTCCTTTTGTTCCTTACAGGCATTTACTACTTTGGAAAAAGCAAACATCCAAAAGAAATTTCCTTAACTGATGGTAAAATCAGAAGGAGGTGGGGGCATTTCCTCCCTCAGCTCTGGAAAGGATGGGCATTATCCCTGCCAGCACTAAGTGCTGGGTGGAGAAGCCAAGGGAGGGCGATCCAGGCAGGAGAAACTTCGTGTATAAAGGCTTGGAGAAGAGAGAAAGCCAGACAGGCTGGGAGGAAGAAGTAGATCCGAGTGTTGAGAAAGGGGCGCTCAAAGGGGAGGCTGATGTCGGAGACGGGGGCTTTGGTGGAAGTGTGGAAGGGGAGGGGCGAGGAGGTGACTGTTAGGCATGTCGATGGTGGCAAGAGTGGGCAGGTGAGCTCTCTGTGAGGCCGAGGAGGAGCCGGAACTGCTGCGGGCCCCAGGGTCCCTCAGTGCCCTTCCAGCTGGAGTGCAGGGAGGCCGGGCCCAGGGGCAGGAAGTGGCGCGAACGCTGTGGGGTGATGGCGTCTGGAATGCGGATTGAGCTTGTGCATCCGCTCTGAATCTTCCCCAGAGCCCACGGAGACAGACGCTGCTGTTACCCCACTTTACAGATGGGGAAGCACGGCCAGGGCTGGGAAATAACTTCCTCCAGTTCACACAGAGCAGTCAGGCTCCACCCGCTGACCTCGCCACCATCACCCTCTACGGCCTCTCCACTCCACTTCCTGGGACAATCATGGGATGAAACCAGATAACACCGTCAGACTCTTAGCCACATGCCCTGTTTCCAGCAAGTGCCCCAGCAGTGGGAGATGTTATCAGTCAGGGAAGACTTCTGGGCAGGGGTGGGGTGAAGTGGGGTGGGAGAGAAGCAGAGGAGGTGGGCATGGGAGGGCAGGGGCTTTCCAAAAGGGCCTGAGTGAGGAAGGCCACGAGTACAGAAATGGCTGTTGAGTCCTAGGGGCATCTCCACCTTGGCATTGGGGCAGAGACCTAACTTTAGGAGCCAAGAGAGCCTGAAGATGCCTCTGTGGGGGAATTCTGAACTTCTCCTTATTCTGGAGTCAGAAAAACCTGGATTCAAATCCCAGCTCTCCCCTGTCCTACTGCATGATCTTGAGCAAGTGTATCTACCTTTCTGAGTCTCCACAGACTCATCTATAAAGGGCGGGGGAAGAGGGTTAAACACGTATAACAAATGAAAATATTAAAAAAAAATTTTTTTTAATGTTTATTTTTGAGACCGAGAGAGACAGAGCATGAGCAGGGGAGGGATAGAGAGAGACGGAGACACAGAATCCGAAGCAGGCTCCAGGCTCTGAGCTGTCAGCACAGAGCCCGATGTGGGGCTTGAACTCACGAGCAGTGAGATCATGACCTGAGTTGAAGTCAGACGCTCAACTGACTGAGCCACCCAGGCACCCTTGAAAATGTTTTAAAAGGTGACAGTAACAGTCCAAGGTTGAATTCTCATTAAGGAGAGGACAACAGCTGTACCCCAACCCCAACAAATCCACACAGCCCAAGACACAGGATGTGAAGCACAGTGCTGGAAAGAATTCCTTTATTTGGGGGCAGTGCCAGGTGGGTGGGAAGAGGCAGGCACAGACCCCGTGCCAGGCAGGGGGCCCACAGGGATAATGGATAAGACGCGAGGTGGTTGAAGGATGCTCTCAGCTGCAGGTACCAGGCCCGGGACAGGAGGGGATGTCAGCTGCCAGGCACTGAGCCTGCTTAATGCCCACAGGGGCCAGAAATCGGTGGCCAAAGTTTTTCCCACCCCGGCACCTACAAGGGGGCCGAGAGGGCAGCCTCTTCGTCCTCCTTCCCCTCAGTGTGGAATCCAGGCCTGAAGGGGGTCAGATTCTGCAGAGGCCAGACAGAGAGGGCACTCAGGGCAGTGGCCCTGCCTCAGCCGGGCTGAGGACCCCCACCCCCAGGAAGCAGGCAGTGGCTGGAAGAGCACACTTGAATGGAGGCTGCAGCAACCCGCCCCACCACACACACACGGCACACGGGGGCCTCAGAGCAGCCCCCCTTCTTAGAGGAAAACCAAACCGCACACACGTCCCAGGCTCCTGCCTGCGGCCCCAGAGCTGCAGAACGAAGGCTTGCCTGGGCTACGTCACCTACTGGTTCTCCTCTCTGCTGGCAGCATGAGGGACAAAGACAGATGGGCTCAGTCGGGCTCTCAGACACAGGGTCCAGGCTGAGTCCTGGCCCCAGCCAGCAAGGGGCAGAGAGAACCCCACATGTTGAGAAGCGTGGCTCCCATGGGTGATGATGTGGGGAACACGCTGCCCTGCCCTTAGTGCTGCCCCATTGAGAAGACAGTGCACTGGCACTTAAAGGGGACCTAAAGGGCAAGAGTCAGGTGGGGGAAGTGAGCTGAGACCCTACTGGCAGGCCAGGTACTCACAGTGTCTGGTAGGTGCTGTCCTTGGCCTTGAGGAAGCGCAAGACGAAGAAGGCCGCTGCCTGCAGGCTCAGCACGAGCACGACGCCCCCAATGAAGCTGGCCCCATCGAAGCCAGGGCCGTGGGCTTCAGGGACTGGGGGGCTCCCTGCAGGGTGCAGGTCATAGCAGGCCACTGTGGACCAGGATCCTAGCCCTACCCCAATAACCAGCACAGGTCACCTGGAGGCCCCAGTCCTCAAAATGGGAGCCTTGAACAGCAGGCTCAGAAGTTCAGCCCAATCCTGTGGGCGGTTGGGAAGCGCCTGCTGGGAGGGGCAGTGTCTGGGGCAGGGGAGGGTGAGGCCTTGGCTCCGGCCCTGGCTCTGCTCCCAGTTGCTCTGTGGCTTGATGTCTTTCACGTCCTCTCTGGGCCTCAGGATCACATGGTCCTGATAGCAATGAGCTCCCTTCCAGCCCCCCTATCCCACGCTGGCCCGGCAGGGTGAGGATAGACCCAGAAGTTAAGCGTCTAGAGCCCTTCAGCTGAGAGTTTCTTTTGGCCTCGGGTCTCAGGGTTCAAAGCCCAGATACAGATGATATAGTCCCTTTTCAGGACTCCTAAGTCCCCGGACCTGGAGTCACCCAACATCCGAGCCCTTAGAGAAGGAAGAAGGGGAGGCCCACACCCTACCAAGTGGGTCCATGGAGACTAGACGATGTATGTCAGAAGGAGAAGCTGGGTTCTGAGGGTGAGATCTGTCCAGTCACCTCACAGTTAAGACAGAGCCAGTCTCACAGCATCCCCTGACCCTTTCCCCTGCCCTGTCTTAGGGCCCACGGTTGCCAGGCTGTCTGGGTGGCTCCCAGCTGTGCCATGTTAGCCATCAACTCCCACCACGGATTCGATTTCAGGCCCTAGGCCAGGTGCCAGGGCAGGGCGGGACTGGAGGTAGAAGATCATTCTGGGGCACTGGAGAGGGGCCCAACTAGGAGCTGGGTCCTCCTCCTGGAGGGTATAACTTGTGTAAGGGGGCCTGAGAATAGGAAGGGCAAAGGGGGTCCCAGCTACAAGCTCAGGGAGCCCCAGAGAAGGACACTGGGGGAGGAGGAGAGGGAAGAAATGAGCTGCCCAAGACCGATCTGGCGCTCAGCCGGAGGGAGCTGGGCCATCAATAATTCAGCCTCCAAGATCAAGTTTCTGGCTTTAATTAACCAAAAGCCTCTGCAGCCATCCCTACCAAGTCTGGTGACCTCCAGGCCCTAAGGGGCAGTGGGAACCAAGGGGCAGAGTTCTTGCTTCCGCTCTGCCAGGAACCTGCTCTGTGACCCTCTCTGGACCCGGGGGCTGCAGTGGGCAGGTAGTCACTGCGCTGCACCTCGTTGGCAACCTGAGCCACACACCCTTCAGCACCAAGGGCAGGTTCTGAGAGTCAGCCCGAGCTCCCAGAACTGCTGGTGTTGGGGAGAAGGGATGGCAACCATCATTTCCCGATTGTTTCTATGTGTCAGACATTGAACTAGGCGCCGTACACCTGCTCATAAAATTCTCGCAGCAACTCTGTGAGGGATTACCCAACCCATTTTACAGATGTGGGAACTTCTTCTCAGCACAAGTCACAGGGCTGAGGTCACAGAGCATGTAGTGCCTGAGCCCGGCTCTGTCTTTGCTGGCAACTCTAGTCTTCCCACCGCTACCGTTCTCCCAGGTGGCACCTACCTGTTGTGACTGTCTTTGGTTCATAGGTGGGGTGGTGGTGGGCAGCTGGAAAGACAAGGGAATCCATACGAAGCCAGCCCTCCCATTCTCTGACCCCCACCAAGACCCCAGCCCAGGCTAACGGCCGGACTTCTGACTCAGATCAGGCTCCCTGGTCCGGGTCCAGGTCCACCTGACATACTTCCAAGCCTTAGTTCACACAGCTCTTCCACCCGAAGTGGCCTCTCTCCATCTCTACCTTTAAGGGTCATCTCTGATGCCACCCCCTCCAACAAGCCCTCCCTCCCCATTCCCTTCTGAACTTCTGATTCTGAAGTCCTGTGTTTTAAATTAGGCAAGATAACTCCTCCATCCCCTCTACACATCTGTCCTGGACCCTCTGGCTGTGCCAATTTTCAGATGGGAAAACAGGCCAGAAAGGGGAAGGGATTTCTCAGTGAGCTAAAGGCAGAAACGCAAGTGGACCCCACTTCGTGGGCAGTCTGCTCCCAGATACAGACGATATAGTCCCTTTTCAGGACTCCTAAGTCCCCAGAGCCTGGAGTCACTGGAGACCCTGGAAAGAGGCCGATTCCTTCCTGAAGGGCAGGCTCTAGCTTGGGGACACCGTAGTCCCCTCTCTCCAACTTAGGCCAGTGGGAGTCCTCTTACCTGGACACGACTCTGAGCGGTTGTAGACAGAGCAACCTTCCTTGACCACCTCAGCTCGGGCCACACAGTGTCCTGGTGGGAGAAGGTGTAAGGGCGGGATCTGGGGAGAGCGGCCAAGGCTCTGAGGTGCAGAACTGGGGGCACTTGACTTGGGGAGGGCCCAACTCCATACCTGGCTCCTCTGGCTGACACTGCTCCCACACGCAGCCAGAGAGGTTGTGTGCTTTATGCCCCTCCACACAATGCTCACAGAGCTTGAACTGTTTGCAGGCCCCCGGGACAGCCGGCCAGATGTTCATGCGGAGCAGGGCTCCCCGCCCAAAGCCTCGAGCTCCTTTACCTGGGAGTGGGAGCAACTCCTTGAAACTGAGCTGCAGCCGCTTCCCCACTACCGTGGCTCTCCCCCGTTTGCACACATACACTCACCTGGATCCGCTAAGCCCCACTACATACCTGGAGTTTCCACAAACACATGGCTACACACACCCACAACCTCCCCCACATTCATCCAGAGTCCCCTTCCTTTGCATACACCTGGGGTTCACTGATCCGTGTAGAACTGCTGCCCCCAGACACACCTGAAGCCCCTAGTCCCCCAACCCCTGGAGCCTATTA